GGAAACACTTCAATAAACATTACACACAAAAAAAGAAACAATTTCTTGCCCTATCCCCGCGCAGATCACTGACCTGGAAATGGTAGAATAATAATCCTACATCTTCGACTCTGAAGAAACGTGACAAACATTGTGGTATTTGGGTGAAGATAATTATGGCCTTCTGGGCTGAACACAGAGACTACGTTTCTCCGAAACGTTGTCATCTACCGATCAATCCACATGGGGCCAAAACCCAGAAGAACATCACCATCATGACACAGATTCACCAAGTAGAATTACATACGTAATTCATTAATGGTACCATGTCCTCGAGGCAAAAGCACAGACAAAACACTTCGTGATATCTTAGTCTTTTTTTGTCCTTTTTATTTTTTTATGAGCGATCAGACTAGTATTCAGACTCTACCAGTCTCTGTGTGTGTCTATTCACTGCCAAATACTTCTGAATCCTTCCACATCTGCATTACTATAGCTCCGGAAAATTAACCTTTAACTTTCAAAGGACACTGATAACCATCAATGTTCAGCAGAGTTAAATTTAACCACCAGATTGGGGTATTAGTAGATTTCACTTCTTTCTCGGAATTAATTTAAATATTATTTACGTATGACACAACATAAAATAAACTAACAAAGGAACATAATAGGCTATGATATTATCATTAAACCAGTAAAGTCTCACTTGCTACGTGGTTTTATGTGCAAGAAATACTACGTAAAATCAAGTAAACATAGAAGCACGTAAAACGAAACTAATGAAGTAAAATCACTGACAATACTTTTCCTTAAGATCAGATACTGAAAAGCAATTTACTCCTATGTAAAAAAACAACGCTAAATAAAGATTTTCTTCAATTTCCTGAATAATAGTTTAGATAAAATTCATGTTTTTTTCTGAACTATTGACTGGGTCTGAATATATTACTTAATTATGAAAAACCTTAACAGATAACTGAATAATGGAAGACTTCAAAAATAAATAACTGATAAGAAATCACAAAAAATAAATTCAATGTTTTCGAGAATTTGTTACTCTGCCACAAAATGTACCTAAGTCGTATAACCACGCTTTCATCAACTGGTCTATAAACATGGTAACAATTTCAGTGACAAACTATTTACGTACAATTGTGTCATACTATCATCTACACAACTATTTACTGTACAGAATAATTTACTTACAACACCAGCTCAATATCTCATATTGTGTGTTATTTGCGTGATACGCAAAATATAAACAATGAAGATAATGTGTCTGTCCATTTATCCATCTGCATCCTCCATGTACAAAACAAAGAAACAGGTGATCATATTTGGTATCGCAGATCTGCACCAAAAATTGACAAGTGAATAATATTGATTTGTATTAGCCCGATATAATTCTAGTACTTTACAAGAAATATCAAATAAACCGAAAAAAAATCTCTCTGGTAATAACGACGATAAACACAAAATACAAACCCCACTGAGATTTTAAACTTTTATTTAAAGCTTTTTTGACTTGGCAAGAATCAGATAAATCCTCATACACTATATCACACTCATCTTCCTTTTGGGTCTCAAAACTAAAATTCTGTACACATTTCTCATCTCCTCCATTCATGCTACATGCCCCACCCATACCACCTCGCCTCATAAAACATGTAATAATGAAATATATTATTTAAGATGGCTTAAAAATAGTTATGACCAATCCCGGATGATGACCTAACTAAACAAAATTAGTCTCATTATTAATAATAAAGAAACTGTTGGTGGTTTCATATTATTTGAGAACACAGGGTGCCACTATTTCTTTTCCTCCCCCTCTTCCATGTACCTTGCCACCTACAGCTCTGTAAGACACCCTATTGAAAAGCACGTATCACTGACCCATTCATTTTTGCAACTCAAATTCATGGTAAACAGCAAGGAACTTAAACCTTACAAATCACATGTATATTCTTACATCCTAAAACCTTTATATTCCTCATATGTTTGTTTACATGAAAGACCTATGTAAATACTTTTCATTATTTATCACACTTTCACTGAAATACAGTCGAGTCCTTAGCACTCATGTTTCGTATTCAGTATGTCCAGGTTCAAATCTTTGACCACAGATTGGCAATCCTTGAGGTTTATCATGTTTTTCTCATGCCCTCCAGGCAAATGCCAGTATCTCAAATTAAGCCATTACTATTTCTTTTTATATCCTTTCCCATAATTATTAATTGATCATCCTACGAAAGAGCTACTAAAAGCAATCTTAAATAAACCACAAATAAATATAAGACAAAAACTTCATCAGGTGTTGCTGTTTAATCCACATATGAATGCTGCAAATTCACCAACTACGTATGATACATCTCAAAACCAAGTGATTTTTATAATGTATGATTCATATCCAACACAAATTTAAGGAATGGGTATTCATCTGCTCTTTGCAAAATTATGATAGCAACTAAACTTATACTATAAATGTATATTCAACTCCCATACTTGATTATTAATATCAATGCAACAGGGATATTCACAACCAGTTGGTATGTTTTGTGTGCATTTAAGTACAACACTTTGCTACTACGCTGACGGAAACAGTGATAAGATAAATGAGGCAACATGAAAATGTTGCAGGACATAACCTACAACCTCAGGAACCTGCATCATCTCCCAAACCTAACACCTCAACTATAGGACAGGATGAATACACTTTAATTTCTACTTTCATCACTGTAATGATACAATTCCAGCTTTAATCTTCAATCCACAAACCACAAACTATTCCAAAGAAAATTATATATGATCACCAAAACTGAGGCATTCTGGGGTGAACCAAGTATATATTAAGATGATTGTCACAATAAATCGCCATACTATTGACGAAAGGCAATATCTGTGATTCGGCAGGTTTAAATTTTCTTTAAGCGAATGAATTTTGAAAACTTTCAATTTCTGTTAACTCTTTGGGGGTCGTTTGGTCTGGAGTCCTGACTGCATGTCAACATGATCACAGATTGTAAACATTGGTATGAACACTTCATTGATACTTGCAGGTAAAACTCCACATTAATATGGGAACTTATGTGCATATAATGTTTGGAAATATTAAGAAATGGCCTTGCAAGCTCGATGCCGCAAAATACTCATTAACATTCAATAACATTTAATACTGTCAAAAAACGTCATCTCAAATAACCCAACTTCCAGCAGACGACATGAGCGAGGAACAAGCATATTTTAGCTGTATAAGGTAAAGAACGTTATTCAAACGCATCATACAAAGTAATATAACATAAATTAAAACTTCCTTTGAGTAACTGGTAACAATTTAACATAATAATCACAATAATATTCGTCAAGTAATCGATAGAAATGGCGACTGAGAAAATCAATCCCGTCCAGGAGAAATGTACCATCCCACTTTTATATGAATACCATAACACTCACTTTTGATAACCCGCTCCGTGGTGGAAAGCTTCGTATTGTTTGATGACATTTTATAGTTTTCTGACAATTATACTACACCATAAACATCGGATGTTCTAGACAACCACAGATTCCACAAGCTAAATACTACTGTCCCACAAGATGTCGCTAACTGAAACTTCCACTGCACTGTATCTTGCGCATCTTTCTGCGCACGGAAATAATTCCCACTAGTCCTCGACTACCGCAAATGCCCTGCGAGTGGCGCACCTGTACGGGATATTTGAATCCCCTGAAAATGGCTAAACAAAATCTAACTTTTAATTTAGTACTTTTAACAGTCTGTGCTGACGTTACAAGTTTATGACGTGTATCATACTGTAGAAGGAACCACAAAGTACTGTCAAATTTAAAATTAAATAATAATGTAAATGTAAGGCAATTTCTGAAATAAAGGGAGTGCATGGAAATTTAAAAAAAAAATTAGATATTAAACCACAAATCATTACTCTTAAGACTGTTACTAGTTTGGAGTACTAGTACATATATCAATATTTGACGTGTCACAATAGGTTTAAATGTATTTTCCTAAAACTGACATATGTAAACATGCATTTCAAGGAGTAGCCAGTGCATTGATATTAAATACTTTTACATAAGTGGCCTCCTCTTAGGTTCATTATTACAAAATTCAGGATTGTTAGGGTTGTAACTGTGCTGTTGGCTGGTATGCAATAGAATTTGTAGGTAATATGTATTATGTGAAATCTGAGATTCTCACAGCAGACATCAAAGTTGCTGTTCTAGGACCCACATGTAGGTGACTTGCACTAATGTGATCCACTGTAGAGCAACAATGGTCTAGAACTGGTGGCCAAGGCAGGGAGGAGGCAGCCTGTTCCTGGAGCAACAATAACTGGGGGCCAAGCCCTAACAAACCAAGCATCCTGGGGAAGGGGCCACATATTAAAGTTCCAGGGGTTTACATAAAAATCCATGGTGTGGGGGCATTACCTGGGGATGTAGTCTCTGTAAAGGGCCTATACCCATGGGTGGTAAAGCCCCTCCAAAGGAGTCTGTCCTCTTCAGGAATGGATGATTTAACCCAAGATGGTATTGGCAAAGGAGTGACCAACATAGTAAAGCAAGCAAGTTACAATGACAGGAACATTGAGAATCAGAATAATAACAGTATGTTCCAACTGTTGTCATGTAGGTTGCCTACCTCCAAGGAAAAAATATAGCAAACAGACAAGACAGATATGGACACGTCCATATGATGTGATATATGAGGTTTTCACTGCCGCCACCACGAAAACCTCAAATCTCACGCAGTGGACATCTACGTGAAAGAAACACTGCACAGAGTACGTCTGTCAGGATCCCTGAGTGCGAAGCTACTGTGTTCCCTATCCTCCCTACTAAGGTGCATGGACCACAGCAACTTCGCCAGTCCCTGCAGTTACATAAATCTGTCTGCAGCACTGTCTTCTCATTATCAGAGTGGGGATTAAAAGGCAAGGTAATCAACAGGAAAACAAAGGCCCAGATTCAATCCCCATCCAAGGAGATACCACTTCAACTCTAACTTATATTTTAACTTCATTTATTTACACAACATTTAAAATCTGAACTTCGGAGAATAATAATCCCTCAGTTTACAGCATACTGGTCAAAGGAGGATGCAGCTGGAATAGTATGTGGTATGACTGGTCAGTTGTTTTTCTAGGGGTATGCTTCCACATTCAATACACAATCATTACTATCAGGATCACTAAATTCTTGGACTATCTTTACCATTTCATAGTAAAACTGAGTAAATATGTTACGGACCTAAAAGGATCAAACAGATGTGATTGACAAATGAAGGATACATGAAAAAATTCATCAACAGCTGTAACATTAAAGTATTAACTGATGCCAGTGAAATACTTCGATTAATCCACAAAACAAAATTCACATTAATACAGAACGTGGCTTAAACATATCTATGCATTTCACATTAAAATATGTTAGCTACTTTCACATCATCATTTTATATTAATACAGGGAAAAAAGTCCATTCTTTTGGAAATATCAGATTTGAAACTGCATTTTATGAAATCTATCCATGCTGGCCACATATTTGAATGCACACTCAGAAGCCATAAGAAACTAAAAGCAGGGTAATATAACTCAAACCTGACCTGTTGTTATATAAATATATACTTTCAGATCATTGATAAGAACATAAATATTTTTCCACAGTTCCATGGTTCATGCTATAAATATAAGTTCTCTTTTAAAATTTCTACAAATTATTTTACAATTTATACACTGAATAATAATAAGAATATTACTTGTATTTCTTAGAAACAATGCGACGTGGAATTGTGGATGTTTTATTAGGAGAGCTACCTGCATCCGTTACATCCGACTGTGACCAGCGTCGGTGGTGACTTTGACTGAAAGAGCCAGAGTCAGGAACATCCAAGAATTTATATACCTTCCAATTTTTAGCATTTTCATTCAGAAATAACACCAGTTCTTTGTAACCATAATACCTCAATTCTTCATTCAAAGTTTCCCAGCATGATAGGAAATTGAGCAAAAACTCGCCATCTTCCTTAACTGTTGGTTTTAATCTGTCAGCTTCATCCTCTAAGAACATTTTAAGGCCTTCAGAAATTTTATATACACTTTCTGCTTGTGGCATGGGACTAGCCACAGTTTGCTTACAAGACTGTAAGCTGTCCCAATTCAAAGAAGAACTCTGCTTCCTATCTGGCCTTAATCTTGGTATAGGGACTGACTGTTTTCTGTATTGAAGCATATTTGTTATGTGGTCCAGTTTTTCATTTGTCTTTCCTAGAAGACAGCTAACATCACTCGTGAGTGTTATGTTGCTGCGTCTAACGGCCGAACCTAAGAAGATTTTGCGAGTGAGGGTTGACTGAACGACTGGCATTTGTTTCAATTTCTTATATTCCTTGTTGACAGCAACGCGGCGATTTACATTTGTGAACAATGAAAGCAAGTCCATCTTGTCTCCATTATCTTCCAACTCTTTGCAAAACTCCTGAATGAACCATGTGCCATCTTCAGTATCCCGTAGAGCAACACGCCCTATAACAAAAAAAAAAACAAAAACAAAAAAAACACAGACAGTCCTCAAAACCTGTGTATACAAATTCATCATTTTTCATATCTGTCAATTACTCTTTAATACCACTGTTTCCTGTCTGTTATTGGTTTCCTTTATCTGTAGATTTTTAGATTTTTAATCACTTGGAATTCACAAATATGACTCATACACCACATACTTCAATCTACTGACAACATTCCCACTGTTTTCAAAGCCGGTACTACACTGGCAGCTTTTACCTTATGATAAAATCAGGGGACATGTCTAAGCAGTCAATTAAGAAAGCTAAGATTCCAAGAGTAGTCTGGACTTTGGAAATTAAACTCAAAATGACTGCCGATTCTGAAGCTGAAAAATGAGCAGCCCATATCAGACACGAAATGAAGGAGGTCGGAATCCAAACCGACTTTAAATTCTTTTTTACAAAGAAAGATAATTCATGGCCATCAACTTCTGTACTTTAAGTTTCTTCGATATAATTATTAAAATATTAAATACTTTCTTAAAATTTAATTCTATACATAGGTATATAAAATATGTATCTATTTATATTTAATGTATTTATATTTAATTTTCCTATAGTCTACTGCATTAGGCATCACAAAGTGTTGAATCATTTTATAAATACTAAGGAAATGTGAATGCAAATCAAATTATTTCTTCTACAAGTAAGAAATTAAGCATGCGAATAAACAGCGACTGACCTTCATACGTACTGAATGCGATCAACAGGTCTGCTTCCGCAGGAATTGAATAGCGATGCGAAGTTGCTTCCATGTTCATTTTACTGCTGTCTAACTGAATGCTGCTTTTAAAACTCATGCCCTCTGATGCTTCATCTCCTCTGCATGCCTGAATTTTGAAAATTATTTGTTCAATTACTACACTCTTAATTTATACTCCAGAAATACAAATTAAATCCACAAGTTACTTCAAAAACCCATTTTCCCATAGTCTTACATTATGCTTCATACAGATATTTTGATATTTTCAAAACTCAAAATAAAATACAAAAATCAAACTGAATAATCCAAACAAAGATAATGAAGAATACAGTATATTCATTATACTAATGTAATAATAGAGAATTTCAATCAGGTGTGGGCAAACTTTTCATGGGAAACAACAAAGAAATTCTTACCTTTATGGACCCAAACTCAAAAAGACTTTATATTAGAATTAATTAAGAAAGGAGCATAAATCATAATATAAGGCTGATCATATTGTTACTTAATGACAGCATTACACTTTTAAATGATAAACAACCAGCACAGAAACAAACAACTAATAAAATTATGGAATTTAAATACTACAGCAAACAGTTTCATATGCTCACTGACTTATTCTTCTCGGGCCACCAGCTGTGTCAGGTCATTTAATGGAGAAAACACCAACATTTAAAGTTCAGTACCCTGAGAACAAGGACGAAGATGGTTCTTGAGACGCTGGTGTTTTCTCCATTAAACCACTCGACGTGGCTGGTAGCCCAAGAAGAATTCATTATACAGCCATGACATTTTCCATCAAATGTGTTGCTACTCTGCCAGTACTGACATCAGAGCTTCTTGTTACACTTCCCCACAACTATTCGTATCCCCCCACGTCCTACCGCTTTTATGACAAGCAGGGCCATCACAAAGTAACAATAAGCGAGTTAACAGAAGACACCTTCCTAAAAAAATCTTGTACTCTTCACTTACTTGGACAATAAATATTTTTGGTCTTCCACCCAAAGACGGGCACACATCTGCTGTGAAACTGGACCAAAGTAAATCCACTTTGTACAGCTCATCATATGCATATAATTTGCCTTTTCCTCTCCCATGAGTAAGGACAGCAACCACAATGCAGTCTTCATTTCTGTGATCAAGTTGTGAAACTGAAAATATACACAGTAAAAATATGAGCTGTCATTAATAGCAATTTAAATAATTGGGTGAGCAATGGGAAAATAAAAAATGCATATAAAATTATTGTCTGAAAACCTTGAGAGAAAAAAATACATGGGAGACCCACGTTAAAATAGTAATAAAATAATCTTAAGATCAAACAGACTGTGAAGATTTTAATTGTATTAAACTAGCTTGTAGGGATCCGTAGTGGCCGCGCGGTCTGAGGTGTGGGTCTTGTGCCACTTGCTCGCAGGGACCGTGGGTTTGAATCCCACTCAAGCCATGGATGTTTACTGTGTTGTGCTGTCTTGTAAATAGGTAGAGGCCTTGCGACAGGCTGATCCCTCGTCCAAGGAGTCCTACTGAATGTCCATAGATCAAGCCAACTAAGAAGTTGGGGACCCGTACAGGGTGTTTATCAATGTAAACAGCGATTACTTCCTTAAACAATAATAACAAACTGATCCTTGTAATGGTTATGGGTGATGTTTCCTACGTAGTACAGACAGAATGTTTAAATATTATTAAGACGAGCTTAGGTTTCAAAGGTTTAAAGTATTATGATTCTCCCATTCATAATTCAATACCTACTATGACTTAGTAACTTCTTTATATCAGCAACAGTTAGATCATCGTGTACAGATACATCAAAATTCAACTTTTCAAAACGTTGCTTCAGAGTTATTTTGTCTGTAATTGTCCCAGTTCTCTCCTTAAGCTTCAGACTTTCGCTATATTTCTCGTGGTTCAGTATGATTGCCCTTCCTCTCCTCTCATGATTCATTTTGTATTCCTCTGCCTTTGGTCCTATTGGTGGAGTGTGCATCCTGAAAATACACAAATAATTAATGTCTCAAGTGACAACAACACCGCTTCAAGAGAATCGGAAAACTAGATTTAGTTTCAAAATTATTATTTACATAAAAACGTCATCTCTTAACGTTCCTCTATGCTATTAACTGTACAGTTTCTCTCTACTGGGCATTATATAAATTAAACAATGTTGTAGAAAGATAAAATATAACAATTTCAACAGCCAAAAATAATTACTTTTGAGCAATTATTCCTTTGTGATCATAATCTGTTTTACATGACAGGTATACAAAACAAACATGTAAGTTAAAAATACATAAGAGGGTTGGTCAGAAAGGCAAACACACATACTCAACTTCATTTAATTTATTTTATACATATACCTACATTTTCATGGCAGTCAAAATAAAACAGGGATGTAGCAACTAAAATTTTTATCAATTTTTATGAATTGTATGATCAAGATAGTGAATATGGTGAATCACGTTTCAGAATCATAACCAACGTTGCAAACATGTAACAAAAAAATCTCTATAAATAGAAAAATTGCAATAAATTTTAAATTTAAGGTTAATGTCTTGGCTGTATGACTTTACATCTATAAAAAAGGAATTTGTCATGAAACATGAACTAATAAATTGTGCAATTTCTGGTCTCCTCAAACCAAATTTCACATATGTTCAGCACCATTATTTATTCTACACAACTTTTTTTCTTCTATGAAAGCAAAATAATGACATACATTTTTGAATCACTCTGCATAGCACGTTACTTCATTGATGTTCAAATATGTAGTTTGTTCTGTATACTATTATTTGCATTACTTACACCTTACTGCTATCCCCTTCATCTCCTTTGCCTTGCTTTACACATTCTGAAACTGTTACATAATCAGGAAGGCTCTCCCCTGCAGCTGGACTTGTTGATGCCATCCCCAAATATTACGTAGCACCACTGTGAACATAAAACACCGTTATAAATCCCAACGAATGCCAGTAGTTATCTAGTTGGTGAGATTGCTAAAACCTCTGGCTGATAAACAGAACGAGGTCACTTTGGTATATAAATACTTTTATATCTCACTACACAACCACTCACCTTTAGCTGGGATATACACACTTAAAAGATTGAATGTATTTGTAAAATTTCATCTGTTATGAAACAATGGCTTCATCTAACACCACATCTAAGACGTCACTTTTGAAGCGAATTTTTACCAAACATGAGTTACACAAATGCCACAGTATTTTTTACACTTAATTCACTGAGCCCAACAGATTTGGCTTTTGTCCTGTCACCTGAAGACAAAAGTATAACCAAATTCCGAAATGTTGTTTTTTTTAAATACACCTCCAAGATGGATAAAGTGCAAAAAAAAAAAATTACATGTCACACCACTGTCAGAAACCTTCAACTTCTTATTCATATTATGTACCTTCATCCTAATCCCCCAAAACTATCTAAAGCCTCATGTAACACTTATTTGCCTGTCTGAACCCAGGTCTTGTAAGTGGTCTCTACCCATCAGATTTTCTGACTAATACTTTGTACGCAGTTTTTACCCGTTCCCATCTCATCTTTTTTAATTTAAAAGATATAAAATTTGGTAAAAAAAATCAAATTAACAAGCTCCTCATATAATTTTCTCCAGTCTCCTTCTTATTCCTCCCTCTTAGGTCCAAATATTCTCATATTTATTCCACGTTCTTCCCTTAACATGAGAGATCAAGTTCCATACCCATGCAAAACAAAGAAGTAAACTATAGTTTTTGTACATTTTAATATTTTTATTTTTTAGACAAGACACAGAAAGATAAAAAAAATTCAGAACTAAATGGTAGCAAGTATTCCACAAACTTAATATGTTCTTAATTCCTCTGCTGGTTTCTCCTTATGGATATGACGAGAAAACTTACAAATAATCTCCTTTTGCAAGACTACATACTGCCAAATTAGAACAGAAGTATATGATGGAAACTCTAGGTAAAAACTTCAAAACACCTAAAAACAAACATAGAATCCATGTAAGATTTGAAAACATAAAAGAAAATTTTTTCTTCCATTCATAGAATCTGATATTTCACTGTAATAAGCTGTGTGGAGGAGGAGGAGGAGGAGAAGAAGAAGCTGTGTGGAGACATTCACATACATTTTCATTTATCCACATTAATATCTAGCTATTGCTATGAATAACACAGATTCAAAACATATTAACAACTGAATATTAAATTTATACAGTAAAAATTTGTAATGTGTGAAATATAAATATCTAATTGACAATCAAATAAACAACCTTGAAAACCAATACTTACAGATACCACACATCCGCTTCGGACTGCAGAAGTTAACCCAAATGCTGGTATTGATTATTTTATATTGACTGAAGGAGTGCCTTATCAGTACTGATAAGATACCTGTGTAGTCTATGGGACAGTGTCATTTTGAGAATAATCAGAGTTACAGATCTGGTTCCTTATATATCGAATCAATACAGTTATGACCTAATTTAACGTACTATTCTGTCATTTGCCTGGATGGACTGAGGATAACCATGAAAAATATTAGACAGGATATTTGGTCTCCAGCTAAAGATATTAACACAGGATCTTTCAAATATGAAGCTGGAGTACTAACCACTTGGGTGCAACATTCAGTCCTATCAGCATCTTGCTAAACATTATGCATTTGCAACAAAAATTTCACACATTTTTGGCAATCTTTACACATAGCAAAATAAATTTGTTTGTAACCTAGAATCAACAGCACTTACCATTAACAGATTCTTAATTATATTTTATATCAAAACTCTAATTAAATTATAAGATTACTGTACCCAATCAAGGCAGCTATTTTACTTAAACTTAAGTATTCATTTGTTAAACATTGAAGACATTTAAAAATACAGGTAAAGTTCCCTCTGGGCCAATGTACCATGTCATTACGGTATACAGGGGACATGGAGGAAAAGCTCCATACAATCTAGGTCATGGAAGCAGATGGAGGTTTGGGTCAGATGTACCCTTGTCATTTCACCCTCACACAAAAAACAAAAAAGTTTAGAAATAAGTTGCAGAATTAAATGAGATATTTCAAAATTTGCATCATATTGTGTGAACAAGAAGTTATTCAAAGATTTCTGTCTTCTGGGTTGTTGCGCTGTCTAGTCTGGTCGATGTTAACCAACGTTTCAGAGGTCATACTGCCTCCGTCATCAGGGCGATGAATCTTCATACTCACCGCTGTGAAAACCTCAAATCTTACAAGAAGTTATTCCCAACGCTCTCTACTATCCGATTACGGTAATATTCGATGATGAACGTATCCTGCCTGAAGCATTTCTTTGTGAAAACAATTATCTGTGTATTAAATAGTGACACAGCATTAACACGAAGAGACTCAAAGACTTATGAAGCTTGCATTATTCCTGCAGTTTAGCCATTTTCAAGAAAATACTAAAAAGAAAAATCTGAAACTAAGTTACTTACACGCAAAGACGTACCAAACAACAAAGTGTTTAGCAATGTCCAAGATGTCAGCTAATACTTCTTGGTTCAGCGAGGTATTACTGGAAAAGTCACCTTTGTGGAGTGAAACACGGTGTGGCCATTCTGCAAAGACGTTTTCTCAAATTAAATTCTGAGGCAAGTGATCATTTGACATTGAGAAATTAAGAAAAATAATATTACTTCTTGTACAGCATTTGAGGCTTTCACAGCTGTGAAAATGTAGATTGTGGTCTGCAGGGTTGTGATGCTATTTAGTCTTGAGTCTTGTCGGTGATACCAATATTCTGCTGAAACTTGTCAATCACCATCTCAGAGACTACAGTCCTCAAATATATTACTGATTATGCTATTATATTATATTATTACAAAAAATATATACATGATGAAAAAGTCCTTACCTGATATCACTGCTTATTGTTCAGATAAACTGTTGTTGTTGCTGTGGTGAACACTTTCAGTTCCAGTGTCAGTGAACTTTTGAGCAAGCTGAAACTATTTCTGAGGTGAGAATACTACGAAGCACGTTTAGCTGCTATCAATGACAATCATGGTAATAACGATGTTCAGTTAGGGAAATCTACAGACGTCTTTGTTGCTTTTCGCTCTCAGTAGTATCATTATTCATTTATCTGTTTTGTCATTACCGACTATTTTATAACTACCAATGTTATAAAGTATTACCAGTAAAGTTTACGTCAAAATAGCTCAAGCACATCTCTTTTTTTTGCTTGTAATGCAGCACACAACTTCTAAGGCTGCATACACCACAGGGACTTACTTAACTCTTGCATTCGGTATTGGGTAAATTACATTTCTATTAACCGATTTAGCGTTAGATGATCAGGGAAAAGTAATAGGAAATATCCTTACACATAATCCACTGGAAATAATATCCAAATAAAGTATAGTCACCACTCCTTTGCTTACAACATTTATTCGAAAATATATTTTAAATTCTGTAATCACTCAAAAATTTCTATAATGTATGTGCCTACATGACACTCAAGAAAATACATAACTTAAATCCACAAGTTACGTAGACTACATATTTTTTATAACATAAAAATTAGGTATGTTTGTGAACTTTGCAAAAAAGAATGTAAACACAAGAACAATAACCTTGAGGTACAACATTACTGCATTTCTTTGTAATTACTTTCTTAAGCTCTTTATATTTTATTGAAAATCATCAAGAACTAGTAAAAAAAAGTCAAAATGTGTTGATGCATAAACACAAACTCGTCATGACTGAGTATTAATACTGAGTTTTCATATGAGAAATGCGAGTGCGTAACGTAAACCAACGTAACGAGGAGAATATCATGTATATCTGAATTCTCAGCTCCCTGATGACAAATTCAAAACGCATAAAGCTCCTCATACTGTGTAATAGCATTTGTATATTACAGTATACAAATAAACAATGGCATAAAGTAGTGAATTGTGATTTAAAAATAAAGAAATTAAAGAGATTCATATTTCTATGCATAACAATGAAAATCAAGCAGTACCTTCAATACATATGAATAAAAGCTTGAAGCTTTATCTAACACGGATGTTCAGAGCGTGGTCCCTAGGGAAGGCTGTAGTCGTCATTATGAAACAGACTCTCGTGTGTGTCAACATGTAAAAACACCAGCAACGAGGCTGTCAGTTTCAGACGTAACACTTATCCGATGCAACGTATCAAGCGTACATACTCGCACACAGGACGTTGCAAAGGTTTGACCTGGCCCAATGTTATCTACTGCTTCATGTGAAAAAAATTAATGTATACAAGTTATGATACAAAGGAATTATGACACTTAAAAATATTTTTAATATAATAATCTAGCATGTAAAGCAAAAACTGACATGCATCAAATGAAGCATGAAAATACTTTCTTTTCATGAAACCCATCAACACAACAGATGCAATTCTGATTAAAAAATACTATTCCAGAATATTGAAATCAAATCTTCACACCACATATTATAGTACTTGAAAGAGTACAATTTTGACTTATCTTCGTGGTACTGCCGACATTTCGTTTCTTACATCTCAGAATCGGGGCGCTTTTCAACCCAAGCTTTTATGGGTGGCAGTGCCAAAATTTTCTCCTTCAGGGCCTTCAGATTGGGATATTTTTCCACTAGATCTTCCTTCACCATGCCATTTAAGTAGTCAAGGATGCCAACAAAGTAAATATCTGCCCATGTCAGCTACATGAAACATCAGAATGCAGTATTTGAAAACAATATTCATTCCAAATATAACAAAGTGTTAGGATAAAGAAAACCTAAATATATTTTAAATTTTATATTACAATACATCAACAATGAACGCATGGAACCAGCCACATGCATGCACAAACAAACAAACAAAATGAAATTCTTTTCCAGCCATATCATGTAGTTAAGACTTACTCCTGAAACCTACCTTCCCACCAACAAAGTATCCTTCATTTTTTTTTACAACTTCATCAAACTTTGACATGTAATAAGGCACAGTCTCATTTTTAAGTGGCCCCCATTTCTTCTCCTTTGTAGCTTCATCTTGATCATAGTAGTAATTGGCAATTTCTGTAAGGTATAATAATTACGAAATTTTATTTTATGAACGATTTATTATACCTCAGTAATTCAATTTGTGTGGCATATATCATTACACAGGGATTTCTTTTTTTTGACAAAATCACACCTTGCATACCAGATAATGAGGACCCTTACAGGTGCAATATCTTGTATATAAAGTATGATTTCATGAAACAATTCATTGTTTTAATGCTTTTATCATAATTATTGTAGACACAATACTTGGCACGTAAGACATGTCTGAATGACAGTCGCTATTTTACTTGTACTTTAATCCCACGAAACATCAAACTCATACACAGAAAACCAATCTATACAGTTCAATTTAACCTTTTTCGTTTGCAATATGAAGATGACCACCAGCTGACCAAAACACGTAGTGCTAGAAAATATGACACTGTTGGTAAATAAAATGTAGTGTAGACACAATAATATTTATTGTGATTAGAGCAGCTCCTTAGTAAATGTCTGACATGTGACTAATATTTAAAGTTCATATAAAATAATGCATTTATTTTATAGCCATTAAGGCACATAAGAAACTGGAGAAAAAGCATCGTACATTTTAAAAATTAGCTGCAGATGGAGACAGTCAGATTCACTTAGGCTATTTTACCCTCAACCCAACCCATCCCTCTCTCCGCTCCCCAAAATGACCACCAAGGAAGCAACACCCCCCCCCCCCCCA